TTAATAGACTTTATAACAATTTTCCTTCACCAAGTTTTATTGAAAAAAATATTTTAGAATGGTTACACTTAACTAAAAAATTTATAAACGAACATTCTAACGTACTTATTACTAATGCCGACAAGGGAAATGTTACGGTTTTACTGAATAAAGATATTTATATATCTAAGATGGAGCTGATTTTATCTGACGCTAATACTTATGAAATTGTTGATAAAGATCCAACTAATAAATTGACTCAAAATCTACGTACATTATTTACAAGGTGGAAGAGCAATGGTTGTATTGACAAATTTACTTATAGTAAACTGCTTACAACCGACGGTGTTATTCCAAGAGCTTATGGTTTAACAAAAATACACAAAGTTGGTAACCCATTGAGAGTTATAGTTTCTTCTATTAATAGTCCATTATATTACCTTTCCCTTTTCCTACACAACATAATTAATGATAGCATACCACCAGCTTCTAGCCATATCAAAGATAGTTTCCACTTAGTTAACAAATTAAAAGGTACTCATTTTGATTCTCATTATTTACTAGCTTCATTAGATGTTGTTTCGCTTTTTACAAATATTCCTTTTAATTTAGTTATAGATGGCATAGAAAAAAGATGGGTTCACATTTCTCTTAAGACTAATATTCCTAAAAATGAATTTTTTATTGCGGTTAACCTTGTGTTAAATTCAACTTTTTTCACTTTTAATAGTAAATTTTACAAACAAGTTTTCGGTACTCCAATGGGCTCACCACTTTCACCAATTTTAGCAGATATTGTAATGCAGGACTTGAAAGAACAAGCTATTAATTGTTTGTCGACACAACCATTGTTCTATTATAGATATGTTGATGACATTGTTCTTGCTATTCCACCTGACAAAGTTGATGACACACTTAATACTTTCAATTCCTTACATGGAAGATTACAATTCACTATGGAGATTGGCAGTGATAACAGATTAGACTTTCTTGACACTACTATTATTATTGATAATTGCAGAATTATTTTTGACAATTTTCATAAAAAAATATTCTCAGGTAGATTCCTTAATTTCCACTCAAACCATCCTATGAATCATAAAAAAGTCATTATTATTAGTTTTATTGACAAGATTTTACTTTTATCACATCCTCGGTTCCAACAGAATAATATAACAGAAGCCATAAAAATTTTTTTAAACAATTCCTATCCTCTTTCCCTTATATTCTCCACCATTGATCAAAGAATTAAATATCATATACACAATCAACAGAATACTCAGAATTTTCATGTGAAAGAAAAATATTTCACAATACCTTACGTTAAATCCATATCTGAAAGTTTCCTTCCCATTTCCAGCATGTTTCAGTGTAAATTAGCCTTTTCAATTCCTAACACCTTAAAAAGCTTTATTAAAAGAGGTAAAGATAAATTAGAACATCTTTCTAATAACAATGTTATTTATAAGATTACCTGTGATGATTGTGAAGCCAGCTACGTTGGTCAAACAAAAAGAAAACTGAGTACCAGACTAAAAGAACATATGTCTGACATTAGAAAAAGGACAGGTTCTCCTTCTGTCATTACTGACCATCGTATTAACTTTGACCACAATTTTAAATGGAATGATGTCCAAATTTTAGACATTGAATCTTCTTACAATAAGAGATTGGTGTCTGAAATGATTCACATCAAAAGGCAAAAACAGGGTCTTAATAAACAAAATGATACAGAGGCTTTACCAGAATCTTATTCTCAGATAATAAACTCTCTTTCTCCTTCGTAAATTTCCTTTCCTTTTTCACTTTTATTCCCACTTTATTACACTTTTACCCTTTCCTAATTTTTCCCCTTATTTCCATTTGTATTTCCTTTGTACTTGAGATGTTCGGTTATTCTTATTTTAAATTGTTTATTGTCAACATCTTATAATAACTCTCTCTTCGCATTTTTCTAACTTATTTTAATTATAATTGTATTTCGATACAATTACAAGGTAATTAATTATTTTTTAATTTAATTGTTACTAAATTAACAATATAGATATGATGTACGTACAATATGTTGTAATTTTACATTACATTCATTTCAATTTATTACCTTGAGAATTGACTCTCTTTACTGATTTATAATTGACTCTTACATTATTTTCATTTTTTTACTAATACTGTATTTTACGATTTGATTTAGAAATGTGGAGTAGTCCAAAAACTATATAATTAGACGATTGCTTTGCTTGTTGGACTCTTGCTGGTGTGCACGATATGATTAAGAACTTAATTATGCGAGTGAGATTAAACATCTATATCAAAAAATTTTTATATTTATATACATATTTATTTTGCTTTTATAATTTTATAATACAATAGTTTGTACATTGTTAACGATCTTGCGATTTTAACATTGAAAATGACCTAATGAAGATCGAAACGTATATTTTTATATTTTATTAAACTTTATATTTATTTATTTTTAATTAATGACAGTTTATTGCTAAGACCTTTATATTTTAACTAATGTTGGCTCGTAGCCCTGTTTTGTATTAATTATTTTTTAAATTTATTGAGCCTTGTTATTTACATATTTTTTATTTAACATGTATTATGTATCAAATGATATCGCATACTTAAAACTAAATATGTTAAATATTAACTGTTCCTGATTGTAAAATATTTTTGTTGCGGCTTAAGTTAGTGGCTTAATAAGTTTGTTTGTTATTCACATTGATATCGCTAAATCGTAATTTTAGACTATTCTTGAGACCCTCTCTATTGAAGTCATTCTTAAGATCAGGTTATCACACCATAATTCTATATTGTTTTCGTTATGTTTATTAGTGCTGGCCCTGCACTGGTTGCCAGAACGTTGGCCGACAGTCGATAGGCGTAGAATTTGTCAAGCATTGATTCTCGTCTTAACGCGAGACCTGTCTATATACATAAAATGCCAGTTATTTGCCAGTGCTGGCCCAGCACTGGCTGACAGTTGCTTGGCCGTTAGTTGGCAGTCGGAGCATTGGCCAAGCATTGATTCTCGTCTTAACGCCAGACTTGTCTATATACATAAAACGCCAGTTATTTGCTAGTGCTGGGCCAGCACTGGCTGACAGTTGCTTGGCCGTTAGTTGGCAGTCGGAGCATTGGCCAAGCATTGATTTTCGTCTTAACGCCAGACTTGTCTATATACATAAAACGCCAGTTATTTGCCAGTGCTGGCCCAGCACTGGCTGCCGGTACTTTGGCCGTCACTCGACAGCCAGCCATTTGCCAGTGCTGGGCCAGCACTGACTGACAGTTGCTTGGCCGTTAGTTGGCAGTCGGAGCATTGGCCAAGCGTTGTTTCTCGTCTTAACACCAGACTTGTCTATATACATAAAACGCCAGTTATTTGCCAGTGCTGGCCCAGCACTGGCTGCCGGTACTTTGGCCGTCATTTGACAGCCAGCCATTTGCCAGTAATGGCCCAGCATTGGCTGACAGTTGCTTGGCCGTTAGTTGGCAGCCGAAGCATTGGCCAAGCGTTGGTTTCGTTGTCACTACTGGCGACCCTATATGGGATATTACATCCGCGATAACGAGTGTCGCCGACCGGTCTAAGTCACGAGCGAGGACTTTAACCCGAATATATTCTTTAATTAAATCAATTCGACAATTGTAACCAACTATTCGAATTGTAACATAAGCAATTAACCACCAAAGTGTAATCATTCAATCGGGTAATTATAATAATTAAATAAAGGGTTACGATTACTTGAATAAATGTAATCAGTGGTAATAACCACTCGAAATTGTAAGTGTTATAATAAATAAAAGGGGTTATTTTAATAAAATTGTGGTGCAGTGTGGCAGTGTGTGTTTGTTCTACAACCTTGACCACTTTCCTCGTTTTCCTCGTGGGTTCCAACCCTTTGAGCGGATCGAATCCCAAAATAATATCTTGTTGCACCGAGAGGTACAACAAAATATACCGCCATCACTGCATCTTCCTTCTGCTCCAATGTCAACGATAGTGAAACAACAATTAGCGTCTGATATGGCTAATAGCACAATACTGTGAGTGCCTTTATAATTATAAAACGTAGAGCCACTATGAGGTGGAGCCTATAAAAAAATGGAAATAGAATTTAGAAGTAATTAATATTAATCTTAATGCTTATTATTGATAATTATTTAATTATTAATATCATTGTTAATATATCTAATACCTGAAGTTCAATATGTTTTCCATCAATAGCTCCAATACAGTGTGGAAAATTCCATAGTGTCTCAAACTATTCTGCTTTCTTTTTCTAAACATTTTTATTAATTTTTGCAAAAACTTGGACACTTAAAACGTCCCAAATAGCTACACATGTTTCACTAATAATTTTAGAGACAGTATTTACTACCACTCTAAATGCAAATGAAATTGAAGTCATTGTATTTCCTGATGCTAAATATCGTAAGCATATTTGTAGACGAGTTGCTGCAGAAATCGGTATTCTTACTGCATGTTGTTTTTCAATTTTTGGTTTAATTAAATTTAATAATTCGTTAAATCTTGATGCATCCATTCTTAAATATTCAATATATTTATCTGAATCAAACATTTTCATTTCTCTGATGAGATTGTTCCTTGTTCCTTGTAACATTCTTTGTTTCTCGGTAAATATGGGCCGAACCCAGAATTTTCTCTGAATACGTTTTTCTTCTCTCTTCTTTATTCTTCTATATAATAAATATAATTTCAACAATTTTTGTCGTGTTTCTTCAATCATTAATGAGTATAGAGTTCGTTGCCATTTAATAATTTCTTGTGTCAAAAGCAGCTTCATTTTTGTCGATCCCATGATATATCTGCAAAATAAAATTAATATAACAATTAAAAAATTAATTGTTATATTAATTTTAATTAACTAATAAATATTAATATAAAATAAAAAGAGGGCTATGTGTGAGCCAATTTATCATTTTATTTGTCACACACATAACTTGTATTTTTTAAATAGCCTATCTCTTATATTTGACTAATAATTTTCTAATCTTTTTGAAATCTTTTAATTTTATATATAATTTAATAATAATTTATGATCTTTTAATTTAATACTAGAATCAGAAGACACGACAATGTCTTGGCAAGTTAGCACGCGCAGTGATATACGCGTTGTGTTCATTATAATTCGTTATGGTTATTAATAATTAATAAAATAATTATTAATAAATAATTTTTCGGTAAATATTGATAATATATAAATATTGTAAATATATTATTGTAAATATTGATAATATATAAGTATTTATTGTTTCCATTATATATATAATTTTTGTTGGGATAATTTAATCCCGAGTTAATTTCAATTCCATAATTTTTATAAGTTTTATCAAGAGACACGGTAGTGTCTCGCGCCAAGTGAACGCGAAGCGCGAAACCACACGTGTATCTTTACGCGAGTCGATGAGTTCCGTGTACCCGAGATTATCGGATCTCACAATAAATGGCTGAATTTATCAACTTTTATATATCCGTAATTTAGTTTTAGTGTTTAAATTATATTATAAATATGTTTTTATTGTCTACGTACCCTACGAAGGAAGATATCTCGATGTGAAGTTGAAATGTCAAAAATTTTAACATCGGAAATGTTGTCCGTTTCACGTTTTAAACACAGACGGCGTTTTGTCGAAAAAATGTTGTCCGTTTCACGTTTTAAACGGCAGACGGCGCTTGCTAGCATATTTTATTTTATATCGATTAGCTGTCAACGTAATGACATTAGATAGATAAAAATCAACGATGGCAAAGGAGGATTTTTGTATCCTGTTATAAAGCAGACAATGTCTTGAAAGTTCACGGAAAAAGTGTTGGAGGCTATGCTTTGAACTGTACTATCGCCTCTCAAGTAATGCCGAAGAGGATAACGGACGCGAAAATCATGCTAAAGCTACAGGTGTGCAATTTCTAATTTCGCTAATCAACATAGAAGGAGAGGAGAGTTTTGATGCTAGTTTTATATAAATTCTCACGGAATTATAATTAGTACCTAAGATACAGTTCGATCGTTAAAGGCATTTTATTGGTTGTGTTTCTCACGGTCTTATAAGATTTAATATTTAAATATTGTTTCTTTTTTATTTTAAGGCTAAAGGCACGTACAGTGAGCTCTATTATTATATTAGAGCTCTATTATTATATTTTATTATAATGTTTTTTTTTTTAATATTTTATATACAGATTTATAAGAAATATTTAACATTACAAAAAATGCGTGATATCTCAACAAAATTACCTTTTTAAAAAAAAGAGGAAAAAAGGCGCTAAGTGTGTTAGCTTCACAAAATAAAATGAAATCTTTTTAAATTGCGCCAATTATGAAAGAAATATATTTTCTTGACACATATACATAACATACTTTATTTCAAAAAGTAAAAGTACAAAAAACTTGGCGCTGCTAGAGAGAGAGAGAGAGAGAGAGAGAGAGAGAGAGAGAGAGACCTTATTATTTTTTTTTATATCGCCCTTGACTCTTCATATTGTTTATTTTTATATAACGAGTCCTTATTTCTTTTTCTATTAATTTCTTATTATTTTTCATATTCGGAATTATTTAATAACCATCTTATTATTGTATATTTTGAGGTCTAGCAGCGCCAAGTTTTTTGTACTTTTACTTTTTGAAATAAAGTATGTTATATATGTGTCAAGAAAATATATTCCTTTCATAATTGGCGCAATTTA